CTGTGATCTTTGACCCCCCCCCCAGTCAGTAACCTGAGTTCTGATAATGACACTGAACAGATTATCCACTTTACTGTGGTCAAACAGGCAGGCTGTTGTGGATCCACACATGTGTTCAGGTGTTCTGAAAGAGGAACCGAGCTTGTTATCTTCCTCTTTTTCTTTGTGATGATCATGTTTTTCTTTTTTATCTTTCTGTTTGGTTGTTTTGACATAGTTAAAGAGTTGACTATTTGTCTGAAGCCAGGGGCAAGTGTGTTCTCCCTGAGCTAAAGAGAAAACCATTAAACCTGGATTTGAGGTTCAGAACTGCCTGTGGCAAACGAAAACATCCTAAACACAACTTCTACTCAAACATCAGAGGTGAAAGAGATCAAATCATCAGTAAACATCAGTGTGTCAGTGAAACACATCCCGCTGACTGTGACATGATCTTCCACAGTAACAGTCTAATGATGTTCGATACCTTATTTATAGGAAAATACCCTCAAAACCCCAAAAAGTTAGGGTTAAGTATAACAAAAACAGCTGGTGATTGGAATCGGACAATATTTGCTATGATTGGTTTAATCAATAAGTTGCCAAAGATCAGATTTTTATTTGGGTTCGTGAATGCATCACTGCTTTCCTTGGTCTGTGAACACTACATTACCGATTGCAACAATATCACATCATTAGTTCTTACTTGAAGAATTATGTTTTTCACATTATAATTTTTTGAAATTTCAGCCATAATTGTAGTTCCTTGATATGTCAAAATCCACCAAAACCAGTCTCAGCAGGTCAGACCTATACATGAATCAGAGAAGAATGGAGCTGGAGCACAATGGTCAGTGCAAGACAAGTAAAAGCTACTAACGTTTCAACGTTCAATATGTCTTCTGTTAGTAGCTTTTACTTGCATCTATGAAGGTTTTGCACTGACCTGTGTGCTCCAGCTCCATTCTTCTCTGCACAGATTCACGTTCTCAGCTGTGCAGCTCCCGTTCTCAGCAGGATGATGCACAGAGTGCCTCTACTTTAGTCATCAGAAATCTGTATAGGTCCTTCGAGCTAAAATGCATCTCTAAACTAGCAACAAAATGCTGATAAATAAATCTGAAAGTTGTGTAACTTTGTGACTGTAGGATCATAGTTAAAAACAACACCGGGAAGTTTACAACTACAATTAAAGTAGTGATTTCTGCATTAAATTAGGGAACAAATTCATCCTAGGACAATTTTCTCTAAAGGTTTGGGCTGTAAAATTCAACAGAATCCTTTCAAAACAACTACTTACCTGTAAAGCTGAACCAAAACACTGTTTCCCACTTGAATGATTTTGGAAAAAATTTATTTTAGAAGTTTTACTTCCCAAAAGCAGAGATCAGACCATATTTACATGAAATAAAACATAAATGACATAAAACATGCCTGCGTGTGATTATGTGTGCCTCACCTGTTTGATACACTGCAGACGGTCATTGGTCTGCTGAATGTGTCTGTCCATGGACGGAATCGAGTTCATGTTGATTGTCCCCGTCTGGCCTCTATCTGCCAGCCATTAAACTGGAGAGTTCTGCAACAGAAACACGTACACGTGTTAAAGGCTTAGCTCTTCCAAAAGGAAAGCTGCCGATGGCATCACCACCAGGATTCTGCTGCCACGTGTGTGTGTATGTGTGTTTGCAGCGCTGTGAGCTGAGCAGGGAGATATTGATTTGGCAGGTGACAAGCACCTCAGAGAGCCCAAAGGATGACATTCCTCTCAGCTCCTGTGACACCCTTAACAAGCCCTGGCGGTTGCCCCTGAACGCTGCCATACACCTTTGGAAACGACACGCTGGACTTAAGACAGGATGTCTGGCCGTGTTGAAAGCGCCTCTGGGTGAAAATGAACCGAGGTGGAGGAACACTCGCACGCAAACACACACACACAAAATGCGTCAAAGCTCCCAGTCTGTCAGTATTATCTCAGAGAACTGTGTGAAGCTCTTCCGTCCTGCTCTGTGAGAACATTAACTTGGCATGTGGTTCTCTGTTTAGATTACTTAGTCATTATGTAATCTTTGGTTAACAATTATCCGTACGCTGGGCCCAGACATGCCCCACATATCATCCCTCCTCCCTTCTCCTCTCGCACTCTCAGAGTCCCTCTAACTAAAACGCCTTACAGCGCACTATCGATTCAGGAGCAGCAGCTCATGGAGACCCTGCCCTGTTCCTCTTGTTTTGATCTGAGAGAATCCTTTTTTCCACACAGGGCAAACAATGGTGTAGCGATCTGACACACTACTCAGAATTATCACAAGTTAAAAATATTACAAGCTGCATTAAAGGTTATCAGTTTATCCCCTGGCAGGCTGATTTAATGCTGCATTCAGTGTCAAATAAATATTACAAAACGCTTGTCGGCAATAACTCAAGAGTGACCCGCGTCTGGAAGTGGAGGGGTGAGTGAATTAATAGGCACATTTATGAGGAGTGAGGAGTGCTCCCTCCATTGTCTCCTGGTGGTTTCATCTCTCCTTCCTGCTACTGCAGGGGCTTCTCATCCTGAGGCACATCATCTCTCCTACACTCCTCCCTCCCCGTCGCCGTCTCTCCATTACCTTCTCACAGTGAGACATTTCCCTGCACAAAGTACCTGTGAGATGACGACGGGAACGAGAGGAGGGAAATAAAAAGAGAGGAGGCAGCATGCTGCACCATACTGATAATGCTCACTTAGGGGTCTGTGGCTGGATTTAACGGCAGGGCCAGTAATCTACTCCACTAGACAGCTAAAGAGCTTTTATGCTACCTATTGGAGCTGCTCATGCCTGTACTTGAGAGGAGAGAAGGGCACACGAGTGCATTCCTCTCCATAAATTAGAAAGCTCATAAAGAAAAAGAGACATCTGAGGATTTTTTTTTCTCCACTCAGAGGAAAAGTATCTGTTTGCTCACATTTCTGAAGCCTCACACTGAGTTCATGGGCTTTGAAGATGGGTGGAGCAGTGGAGCTGTTGATATAAAGTTTAATGTGCTCTTTAATGTAATAATTTAAAGGTGTGTGTGTGTGTGTGTGTGTGTGTGTGTGTGTGTGTGTGTGTGTGTGTGTGTGTGTGTGTGTGTGTGTGTGAGAGAGAGAGAGAGAGAGAGAGAGAGAGAGAGAGAGAGAGAGAGAGAGAGAGAGAGAGAGAGAGAGAGAGAGAGAGAGAGAGAGAGAGGAGAGAGAGAGAGAGAGAATAGTCATGGCTTATTTAGTATTAATACAGAAAAAAATACTTAAAGCTTTGGTTTTCTCCCTTTTTTAGCTAAAATTTATGATCATCTCTCATTAGTTTTATGATATTTATGATCATTTTTATAATTTCATGACTTTGTTTTTCTGATTTTAACTCATTTTATGATATATATATAACACATATATATATATATATATATATATATTTTTATTTATTTATTTATCCCTGTGAAGCACTTTGTGATACTCCTTCTGAGATGAGCGCTTTATAAATAAAATGTACTTCCTTACAAACGGAGCAGAGGCCTGACTAGACTAGTCTGTCTTGGCTGTTTTAAATTAACTTCAGTTTGACAAAAATTCACGGTGGTTCATGCAAACATTTAGCTAAGTTATGCTATCCCTATGCTACAGGCTGCACTAGAATTTATAGCTGCTGTTATTAGAGCTTGCAAAAAAGTAAAATTTATAATGTGATAAAAGGCATTTTCACCCCAAAATACAGACTGATGTATATGTTAAAATGTTGTATCATCTTGAGAGTAACTTTAAATTATTATTTTTTATTTATGTGTAAAATAAAATGCAGTGAAATACTTAAAATTTGTCATTTTTTGTTTTTCTATTATTGACCTCTATCAGATGTGGTCATGTTTTGCAAAATATCTTGTGAACTACTGTTTTATAAGCTTGTTTACTCATGAAAATCTGCAGTGAAAATGTTCTATTTTCTCCATGCATCCCTTAAGCGAGTTTTATTTGTCATTCAGGGTCAGAATACCCACACCAATCAAACAAATCAATACAGCACACACTTTGAATAATCATGTCGTATAGTTCCACCTCAACAGCTACAGATCCTGTTTGTAAAGCAGGGGGGAAAAGCATAGTTATTGATGACACGTGCATTGTGTGTGGCTGTAATTCTCTCCTTGGTCCTCTCTCCATGTGCCAGCAGACAGCGAGCTGATCCTTGACAACCACCTTCCCCCTCTGCCGCCAGCAGGTGTCTCCCTGGCACTTCAAAGGCCCACCTAGTGGCACAAAGGAGGAGCGGTGTTGCTTTAAGCCTTTACAAGCTCGACAAATCCTCAGCTGCTGCTTCCTAACAGGGCCCACTCAGCCCGGCACTGCCTGTCTGACCTTGTGGTTATTGATGAGCGAGTCGACCTGCTCTCCCCGACTCTCCTCCCTCCTGCCCTTCCCTTCGCTCTCGCCCTCCTTCTCTCCCTGTGTCATTTCTCCTACTTCCAGCAGTGAGTTAAAATGAGGGGAGAGAAAGGTTGGAGTGCCATTCACCTCTCCCTTTTTCTAGGTTAAGTACACATTTTTAACATCACTTTAGATCCTGTAACGCTCGTGCTTTATTATTTACATTTATTTATTTCCTAATTCTATAATTATATTAAAGAAAAACCTCATGCAGCAGAGGATTGGAAGTAATTTAATTTCCAGGCTTTTTCTTGTACTAATTAACACAAGTCCTTTGTTTTTTCTTTGGTGGCTAACGAGAGCCAATTTAAAGATTAAAACCTGTGATGCTGGAAAGATAATGACAACAAGATGCAATTATAAGCCTCGCCCTATTTACATGCTCTCTTCAGATGCTATCAGTTCTTATTTTCTCTGTGCTGCAACCTGTGCTCCCATTTGGCTAGCTTCAGATCCCGTCTGCCGCTTTCTGGGGGGGAAATCTGCGCCGTTACGTGCCTAACTCGAGCTTAATTTACTGCAAATTGCATGGCAGGCGTTACACAACAAGTTGAGAGCTGTGGATTCCTGCGCAACAAAAGACACATGGTGTGTGTGTGTGTGAGAGCGTGTGTGTGAGAGGTGAGAGCGTGTGTAAGGGTTGAGAGTGGGAGGAGAGGAGGGAGACCCGCTCTCCTCCCCTCCATTCAAGGGGGAGCTAAAATATATGTATTGAGTGGGAGCTGTAATAAAACGAAACGGGTGAGGAGATGCAGGCTGGGAACAAATATGAAAGGCAGTGGAGTATAGCAGCAGGGCGACGGAGCACCACCGGAGGATTGGATGAAATTATCTCTTTATAATCAGGGGGCTTCTGCATGGCTGCCTCCTCCATTGCCCGGTGACAGATGAGGCCTACCTCTTCAAATGGGCTTTTCTGCGTGCTATCAGCCCACCTCTGGGGTAAAACAATGTTTTTCTTCTCCCTCTCTACAACTACTTTAAAGGTTTGTTTCCACATGGAACCCCGCGGAGCCGCTTGTCAGCCAGGATCGATGTTTGTCTCATTACACCATCACATCACATAAACTCCAAAAAGGTCACAGCTTTCATTTGACGAACAACATTACAAGAGACACCGAAACAAAGCCGCATAACAACACTAGAGCAGAACATCATTTCGAGTACAGTAAGAGTAGATCGTCTTTTTAGGGTCTTGTTTGCAAAAATAGAACGTCGTCTCAGACAAACAAACCACAATTTCCAAAGCGAGCATCTAGCTTGTTAACATGATGAGTGCTGCGCTGCTGCTCTGCAGGATGAGATGAGAGTGAGATTTGCAAAAGAGCAGACAATGATAAGCTTCATCCCGCCATCACAGCAGAGCAAATGCATCACAAACTCTCTCCACTGAGCTGGTGAAGCAACAGGAAGTTGTAAACAGATTTAATTTAGTTATATAAATCATTGCTACTACTTATTATGTTCTATATGCAGCAATCCAGAGTTTCCCCCTTTCAGGAGTTATGATTTTTAGAAGTCTGTAAAAGTGATTGTCTTACCCTGTACTGTGATGTAGGCATTACATCAATATTTCTTTTGCTAAGCCCATCTTCTGTCCTATAGAGGTTTGTGCAATTTGATTTGAGCACCGTTCAGCATTAGCCAACAGCGTACATCTGCTCGCATACAAATGTCAATCACAGAGCGTGCATGGTAGCAGAAGTACCTGGACTGATCCAGATTTGATGACATTTCTTGTGGACAACTGTGTCTTCAGAATGTATATTTATGAAAAAACCTCAGCATAACATGAGAATAATAATAGTAAAACAATGTGCTTTAGCTCCGTTGGATGCTTCGAGATGCATTTTCTGGCACAAAAGATGTTGCTTCCTGCTGTAATCACAAAAGTAGGGAGAGGTGCTGTTGGTGGAACACATTTTTTCTGACTCTAGATGCTGCCCTCTAAGAGAAAACTCCAGATTTCTGCTGTGACTATCAGCTAGATGGTAATGTTATACATGTGTACTATTTTCTTTAGTTTTAAAGTGATAAAACATCTCATGAACCACCAGATGGATTTTAATGAAAAGCTCAGAAAGTCTTCACTAGATGTCCATCTACAACTAAGTGACTCTTTGTGTCAACCAGACAACAGATAAGCACTTCTTGCTAACACCAAAACTGTAAGCAAAATGTGGCAGTGACAGTTTAGAGCACGTGTCACACACCGGGCCCGCGGGCCAGATGTGGCCTGCGGAGCATTTTTATGTGGCCCGCGAGATAAATATCACAAATATATGAAAACTGACCTGCTGGCCGATTTTAATGCAAAGACTACAACTCCCATGATGCTTTGCGGCGTTAGCGCGGAGCTGAAGCGCCCCCTCCTTTGTGTTTTTTCCAGCGTCTGCTGTCGGTATCTGCAGCTCCGCTGTCTCGGACAAACTAAACACTCCTCTCACTCAGCGCCGAGTTTACACAGCTATTTGCCAACGTTCAAGCCCAGAAACGGAGATTTCAACCGCTCAGTAATGTGTTCACGACTGAAAGAGAAAGTTTTCCAACTAACTTCCAGACAGAGCTGATATAACTCCAGCGAGCAGTGACACGCTCAAACCAGCATGACTCTGTGGCTGCTGTAGTTTTTATTTTTCCTCTCCAACACACAACAACGTGGTCAAGCTGCTCAGACATGTTCAGCAGCACAACCCTATGTGAGCACCTGTTGTCATCTAATGTTGTCATTATTATGATGAAGATGAACAAAACAACAGGAGTCTCCTCCTCAGCTCAGATCAACCCCATGATGCAGGTATCTGGCTGGAAAAGGTGAGCATCACAGTAAACCAGTGGAGAAAACTGAGCTTTAAATATGTTGGTTTTATGCTCTTTTTCTGCTCCAAAACATGAAAGTTAACAGGTGAGATGTTGCATTTTCATTTAAGATAAAATGATATTTTATTTTGTTGTTGGCACACGAGAAAAGATTTAACCTACAGTAAGCAGGAAGTGGAAAGGCTGCAGATAGATGAATAGAATAGAAAATCCCTTTATTGTTCCTCAGTGGGGAAAGCTAGATGTCACAGCAGCGATGACACGTATTACAGGAGAAAAAAGGAGAATAAAAAGTAAGAAAAATGAATAAACAAGAAAACATAAATCCTTAATAGAATTTTAAAATGCTGATTATACCAAAAGTAATGAATACCGCTGATGCGTTTTATTTAAAACTGACTTGCTCGTGTGTAATTTGGTTATTCCACATTCAGGTTAATGCAAAAATAAGTTTGTTTCCAAACTAAAAGGTTCAAAATTGCATATATGCTGATGAAGAAAATGTTTAAATTTGCCGTCACTTTTTCAAAAAATATTAAGTTTGACTCGCGACTTCGTCCCAGATTTTCATTTCGGCCCCGTGTGAGTTTGAGACCCCTGGTTTAGAGCCATCAACACTCCCCAAGCACTAAACATCGAGCAAAATCTATGCTTAAAACTTAGTTACCGACTGTTGTCGTGTATTTCTTTTAGCAGAATACCCTATTATCAGAAGACCATTTCCGTGATCTTGTGACTTCCAGAAGTTACCTGTATCAGCTCCACTGAGCTGTTTACTTGCAGATGCAGTCAGGTTCCTACCGCATATCTGGGTGCATCAGCTTCAATAGTTCGGTTTTCTGATGCTCATGTAAACACACTGACTAATACTGTAATGGTGACACATTTTTGACAACCTTAGTTTAATTTAGCCTTTTTGTTTTCTGTTCAAGAAATAAATGAAAACTTTGCAAATCAAACAGTTTGAAAAAATCTGTATGATGATGTCAATTTTTTATTCCTCTCTTTTTTTCTTTTTAGGCATCCATTGATTAAATAAAGAGGATTTAGAATGTGGCTACTGCAATACGAAGCCTGGAAGCCATGCTGGCCACCATCCGGACCACACACACACACACACACACGCATGCACACACACACACACACACACACACACACACACACACACACACACACACACACACACACACACACACACACACACACACCTTCTCACCTTTCCCCGAGTGCTGGACCAGTATCATGATACCATAACAACACCCTCAGTCACTCCTAATGTGCTTTACAACAGCACAACAGGCAGGGTGTTACACCTCTGCAGAGCAGTGTGAACCTCCCCACACACACACACGCATGCACGCACACACACACACACCTCACTGATTGAAAGCTACTAAGCCAAGCCCTGCTGACACTATTAAAACAGAAAAAGGTGGCCTGAGCAAAGAAACCAACAGCTGATGGGGACATGCTGCTCAAGGTGATCATGTCCCTGTGAGCCATGTATGGCAGGTGAATTAGGCAATAAAGGAGTAATCTGTGCCATCACTGACTCGGGTTCTGCTGTTTGCAGCATTTGCTTAGGGGTGATAATGATGAGGTAGGAGGGGAGCAGAAGAGAGGGGAGGGGGGGAGGAAGCATCTCATCACTCCCTTGATTTTAATGAGCTTTGATTCCAAGATGTGTCTTGTTTACTTCCGACTGTCAGCCGAGGCCAGCATGGAAGCTCCCACTTTAATTATCTTAACATTGTGAAGATGATGTTTTTTACTCCCTGTCCCAAGGGGAGGGTGTTTAGTTTGGAGAGGGCACCTCTAGGACTCCAGGTGTCCACCTGGTGAGTGGCCAGGCAAGGACAAAGCTGCGCTTGTTGGATGGAGGCAAAAAAAGGCAAAGAGGATGGAAATGTGTACGAGACGCTGCCACTTCCATTGTTGCTTTACAGAATGTGCCATAATCCCTCAGCAGGCTCCATCCCGAGCTGGCACAGAGGATAATATGAGCCCCCCACCCACCACACACACACACATATGGACACACAGCCACTCAAGTGCATGCACACTCTCTCACACCTCCCCACATGGCTCCTTAACAGGCTTGGGGATGGATTTCTTTTATTTAATGTGGTTTGGTCTGCAGATCCAGAGGCAACCGTAAGCAAGGGGCGGGCTTCCAATTGTGCCGCTCACCCTCACACACACAATCTAAGGGAGCCCTGCTGCGATGGTCGCTGTTCACTGATTTCTCCCTCCTTCCGTCTGTCTTTCCTCCTATTCACCCTCCTTTTTTGCCCTCTCACTTTCTTTTTATTTATTTTTCTCCACAACAGCTCACACAAGCAAGTCTCCTGGATTCCTTCGGGAACTCAACGTTCTGAACACAGAGGTTGTTCAGCCATCAGGCACATCTGCAGCATGATTAGAAAAGCAAAGGGAGCATGGTGGTGGAAACAGGAGGGTGGTGTGGTGAAGCCTGTCCCACTCCATTCCTCTTCTCCTTTATTTAGCAAGATCATAAAGTGGCATAAGCATTATCCCCCCTCAAGCGCCCCCCCTTACCAAAGAAAATACAACAAACTAGCTCTAACAGAGTGTTTCTTTGAAAGAACGAGGAACATCATGTTGGTTTCTTCTTCTCTTGTTTGCTCTCAAACAGCTACTTGCTACTCTTTTAATTTCCTTCCACCTAATAGCAGGAGGGTGGGCAATCCCCTCGGGGTGCTGGGGGCAGCAGCACAGATGAGCCATGTTGCTGTGTGAGCCGGCTCGCCTCAACATTTGGCCCTCAAGCTCCCACATCTCCTCTGCAATCCTCCTGGAATGTTTGGGAGCATGAGGTGATGACGAGGAAGAAGATGATGGTGTCTTCTCACAAAGATACTGCCTTATAATCTGCTGGCATTTGTGAGCACAATGGAGAAGTCAAAGAGGCGTTTCATTTCCATGGGGGGGGGGGGGGGGGGGTATTGTTGTGATATACTGCTTCAGGTCCCCCCCCCCCCTCCTTTCCTCCCAGTCTGCAGGTTTATTATACATTCAGCTCATGTGTCCCTCCTGAGTGGCTGTTCATTTTCCACATACCGTGCTTAATCCGTCCAGCTAAAACTTTGAAATAGCGGGAGTTGCAGACGCTACCCAAGAGGAGCCATTATGAGGTCTGGGAGAAAGAGAGACTGATAGAGCTGAGGGGGGAGGAGTGACGGGCGAGCTGCAAGATACATGGGAAGGAATTCAAAGGAGGCTAAGAGCTGAACATGGGCATGTTTGTGTGTTCGCCTATTTACAAGTGTAATGTGTGCGGGAGCAGCGGTGGTGAGTTTGCTTCTTGAGTTGGTGTGGCCTGTGGGGGAGGCGGGGAAACCTGCTTGTCTCCATTGTGCAGTGACCTTCGGCCTTTTGGGACTCTGAGTGAATGGGAGGAGTGAAACAGGGAGAGTGAGGGATTTTAAATAAGCTCAACCTGCTCGGACACTGATGGACAGCAGCAACATGAGCTTTCTGTTTCTTCCAAGACGTCTGGGAAGACGCACCATTAATCTGCCAGACCTTATCATGACCTCACCAACATCTCCTGCTGAACGTGTTCCTTTTCTCACTCAGCTTTTGTACAATCACAGACTAAAATGATCAGATCTAAGGTGTAGAAAACTAAAGCATCCTATGACAACGGCACAAAGAACTGACCAACGATCCAATCAAAGCTGATTCCGGTCAGTGCATGTATGAATGTTTAATGTATTAGCTAACCAATTAATGCTTCATCTTCAATGAAGGTAAAATACAATGGCAGAAAGTTTTTACTTTAAAGACCAAGTTCACTTGTTTTTTTTCAAAATGCACTCATTTTAATCACATTTTCAGTGGTCTCTAGTAGGAATAGGTGTGAGAAAAAAAACTCAGGTGTTTTTCCTGCTGTTTCAGGAAATAGAAGTGAGCCACAGGAGTGGGGAACAGAAGACGGCAGGATTTGGACTCTTATTTACTGATTTTTGGACATCTTGCCTCTGATTGGATAACAGACTGACTGACTGACTCACTCTGTTTGCTTTGCAACAATGATGTTTTATCTCCACAAATAGCACAAGCCTGGAGGAGTTCTGCTGTGTGGTGAAGGTGCTACTGCTAATGGTTAGCTTCAACTAGCCTAGAAATGCTATGCTCTCATTCCATTGTTATCCTGTTCTTATCTTATACACAGTTTCAATTTTTACCTTATTTTGCTAAACAACAGCCTTCTCCATCGCAAGCCTAGATGGATGAGTCCGTGAATGCTAATTTACACTTTTACTTAGCTCTGATTGGTTTTCCTAATCCTACCATTTTCCCATCTATTTCCTTTCCCTAATGCAGGAAATAGGGATAAAGAGCTATTTTGACATTCAGCCTGCACGTGAAATTCAAAGTGACTGATCATATTTAAAAAATAACAGGCAAAAAAAGGCTTCTCAGTGAACTTTTAACTTGTTTCATTTATGGAAAAAGCGAGCAAATATTGTCAAAACCATGTTTGTTCAACATTCTGAACCAAATTCCTTTATCAAAAGTGACTTTTAAGTGAAAAAGTAAGTAAAGTTTTAAATAAATGAGTAATTTTGTCCACTACTGCTGATGTCACCGCTCCACAAAGACTGCATAATAATACAATCAAAGATGAAATAGAAAATAATTCAAAAAGTTTTTAAAATCAAACATAAAACCCACCCAATTTTTATGACTTGGACAATAAAAGGACCTGTTAAAATATTTGCAGCACTGATAACGTAGCGAAACTGATCTTGTTAAGAGTTTGTTAATATCTCCAGTCATCAGTCCCTCCAGAGAGAAGCCTCTCGTTCCACAAATGTGCCCAATTAAAAAGAGCAGAGAGCTTGGAGAAGGGCAGTGAGAGGCCATTCCCCGTGTGATCTGGATTTCCTAATTGGTCAATGACAACACATTACCAGACACGCAGGCGCTAGATCCGCAGCGAGGAGGCTTTTGACAGCAGAGCTTCGACCTTTCCTCCCCCTCTTCACCAGCGCTGTCCCACACGCCCTCTCCGTGACCAGGCAGAGTGTGTCTTGTCTATGTAAAAAAGGGAGTGGGGGTCTGCTGTGTGGGAGGAGGAATGATTTAGAGGTTAGGCAGCACAGGCTGCTGTAATGTGTCACAAATCTTCCTTACGGAGCCACGGGGACACACACACACAAGCATGTGATGAATCCCATGCAGCCTGCAGACCTCCACCTCCCCTCCTCTGCCACTTCTCTAATCTGTGCATCGTGCAGAGCTCTAATTTTGCCAGATATCATGTGCTGCCATGTTTTGATTGCCTTTGTGCAAATGTATCGGGAAGCTTCTCATCTCACACGCAGCTGTGCAGAATAGCAATATGTTAGTGGAGAAAGAGGGGATTCTCCAGAGAGGAGTGTACTCAACATAGTCCTCAATGGCAACTTCTATTTGCTGTGCATCTTTTTTTGGGTGCAAGTCTTTCTTTCCTTATCGAGGCAACCTGAATATTTTTAAATAGTTTAGATTTCTTTACAAGCTTCAGGTTGAGGCTCTTTTTGTGGATAAAATGTACACAAAAAATATCCCAAATCTCAGAGACGCAGGCTGAATGCATGAAAACAGTATGCCTCACTTTCTATAACCTTACAGCATGTTATAAATAGCATCAGATATCTGAATGCTTGGATGAGTAGCAGTTTGAATGCATTATTCAGCTGAAGACAGAATCTGTCCCATGAAGCAACACAATCACACACGTTCCGATGGTGCCCTGGTTCCCATTCGACCACTGCTTGGAAAACGCTCTGCAGGCACCACTCTCTGAAAAAAAGAGCGTTAAGGCCAATTTGACAGCTATTTTGACAGTATAAAAGAGACCTGTTTTAGCTGACTAGTGACACATTAAGCTGCATTTTCACCACCTATGGACTGCACGGTCACATCCTCAGATCTAAACCTTGTAAGGTTTTAGAACCACGACTTCAGCCACATGGTCTCTTATTTCTTACTTTAATTAAGGTGGACTTTTAATACAGTAGCAAAACAACTGTTGTCACACAATGGAATCTTACAAATTATATTTCAGCTCCGATGTGTGAGGTAAATCTGGTTTTCTTAAGTTCCCTAAAAACTTTAAAATGTTTGATCATCGTTAAAAAATCCATGCTTTCTTTTATATTTCAACGGATGCCACAGTTCTGAGCCACTCTTCTACCTTCACTCTGTCTGACTTTGTGTGGTTTGCAGGAACACATCTTTCATCAGAAGTTGAAGTAGCC